AATCTGAAAAAAATGGACATAAAATTCTCAATAAATGTGAAATTAGGGGAGTTTTACTATAGGAATGCTAGCATAGCCAATAATCCTAGCACAACATACAGCCATGTATTCATAATTAGATCTGACTTTCTCCTTGAATTTCCCTGTCCTCACAGGCCTTTCCACGCCTGTTACATGATGTCCCTGCTTACTTCATATTCTGCCTGTTTATATCTGCTTTTGGACATCCATGAAGTGCTTAGTTTTTATTCTGGGATAAACTGAAGGGCAAACTATTGAGTTTCTCTAAGCTTTTGCCTGTTTTCTTATATTCTGTTTTTGTGGCAATGCATTACCTTCGGGGTCTCTCTAAATTAAAAGGGTAATTTGGGTCCTCTACTTACAGTGCTTAGAAGGGATCAGATACACCTGCTGATGAGGCCCAAAGAAGGCCAAAACTATTGTCCGGGATTTCTGTATCTCTCATGCAGAGAGAACTTGCTGGCATTTCGATTCTGGATTGCTCTTAGAGGGATTAGTCTGATATCATAAAACTAGTGGAGCCAGGTGTATGTGTCAATTAAAAATTAATATTGCATGCTCTGGACATGAGACTTGGCGCTAAAATTTTAGTTTCTTCCAAGCCAAATTTCTTCCGGTTGTTGGTTCGTTTTAGGACTTGGTCGTTACTTTCGTTTTGTAATTTCATTCAGACTAATGAAATTTCAATGCGGGCTGCAGCTGCATCTTGCACCACTTTATTAGATACTTCCTTAAATTGGTACCCTTGTGTGATTGTCATATTTAACGTTACCATATTAGGGAGCTGTTTAGTAGATAGCTCCTTTTTGGCATTCTTGTGGCAATCCTACAAGGATTAGGGAGCTATCTACTAAAAAGCTGAAAGACCAAAATTATGAAACGCCCTTGCACACCAGCTGTGTGCAAGTAGGGGCATGTAAACTAAATAGCAAGCAGCCAGCAGCCAATAAACTAAAACGAACGAACAAAGAAGAATTGATAAATTTTGTCCAAAAAGCAATTTGGTGTAATTTCTGTTCGTTAATTCTTCCTTTGGACTAATGGATGAGTAGTCGAAATTCGGATGAAAAGTTGTAAGTCCAAAAATGAATGCCCAAGTCTACTGGACATTACACCATTGAATAAAACATTGAAAAAAGCTTAAAACTGTTTTAACCTTTTTTTTATTTCATGTTGTGCTTTTGTTTGTATTAACATTGCTATCTGGTTCAGTCCTGGTATAGGCAGGGCACTCAGGTTCATATTGTTCAACCAATGAGCAGTTTTTAGTATAATTGGAATAACCAATTTAAACTGCCCATGAAAGGTAAACAGAAACCTATTGTGCACCCCATATGAAAGTGAAAAGTTTTCCATATAAACAACCAAACAGAAAGGTGCTAGTCTCTGAATTTCTTGAGAGAGATCAAATGCAAATGAGCAAAAATTGCTGAATCAATCAAAAATAGATACTAGAGGTTAGGTGGTGGTGGTGGGTCTTTAGATTCTTCAGATATGAAGCAGTAAAATTCAATTAAGGAGACTTCAACATGGTTACCTCAGATTCATAGATGTCAGTCCTCCTGAAGAAGTGACTACAAAGTTTAGGAGAAAATGTACCATACATTATGAGACAAATTATAGTTGTTTGCACAGGATACATGTCTCCTGTTTGGGTATAAACATTAAACAAGATTATGTAGAATTTCCGATAGCCATTTCAGACCACAGAAAAATGTACTGTATTTTTCCATGTACAAGACTATGTTTTTTTTCTAAAATTAGGGGTCGACTTATACACAGAATGTGACTGAAGGGGTTAAAGAAAACACTTGTGCACTGGGCTAAGTTAAGATGGCGCCACACACATACTTGGCCTCCTTCCTGCCGATCCACTTCTGAATGCTGTGGCAAGGAGGAAAAGGTCCCTATATGCGTGTGAGCTGCAGCAGACATCTGCAGTTACCACCAACGGAGCTCAGGAGACTTGCCACACCATAAAAGGGGCAGCCATATTAAGGTTTGCTCCACCACAGGTAGGTCTTGCTTTCTGATTTATATTTATGGGGGAGGAAATGGGTATCAGGAAGCAGAGGGAATTCTACTGGTATGTTCCAGCATGCCCTCACACCACCTGTAATCTTCCAGCATGCACTATAGAGCAATTAACTTCACAGAGAACCGTAGCACAGAGGAAGCATGACAATTAGAAGTGTGTTGTTCTCCTCAGAATTCACCTCTAAAATATCAAAATTGTTCTATTTGATGTTTAAAATATTGATTTCCTCATTTTGGCCTGAAAAAATATGGGTCGTCTTATACACGGAAAAATACAGTATATATTTAAAATATATACTACATTTTATATATATTTTCTTTTTGTTTGCCCGCAGTCTCTGTCTTAATTTAGAAATTCACTTATTTTCCTGCTCTCAGCATTTGATATAAATGTAATTATCACTTTGCTTAAGGCTAACGCAGGTGCAGAATAGAGACACGAGTTGAACTAACATGTTGCCATTTATATCATATGTGTACCTCCCTATTACAGGGAGGTTACAGATGATAAGTTCATGAAATATAGAAATGCAAATTCTTTTAAAAAAAAAAATTGTGATCAAATGTGGTAAAGTGAGATGGCTTCAAACTATTTTAAAGATAATTGACTATAATTATAGGAGGAATACTGTGAAGTGCTTGACATTTTTTGCACAGTAGGTTTTGACAGCACACATTGTATGAAAGGTACAGTTTAACAAAAACATTTCATTAATACGCTTACAAAAATCTTCCTTATATGAAATAATAATGATTCAATTCTATGTTACCATTAAATGTGACCTTATAGTAAAATACACAAATATGATTTGTTACTTTAATTTAGATGTAGCAAGAGCCCCGTATGGCCAGCCTTGCTGTAATATTTGGCCTGAAAACCACAAACTAATTTCATTCTAGATAATAATAAATAAATAATTAAATGATGTCTCATGAATTGTTCATAATTAAAATCAGGGGTCAAGTCCTGGGGAAAAAAGTGTGGGAACTCACCCAAGAGTCCCGCCTCCCCCCCCCCCTTAAAAAAAAATAAAATAAAAATTACACTCCTATGCATATAGTGCAGTGCAGGGTGTGTATAATGAATGTAGTGTGTTTGTAGTGAATGCAGAGTATGAATAATAATTGTAGTGAATTTGTAGTGAGTGCAGAGTGTGTATAATGAATGCAGTGTATTTGTAGTGAGTGCACTGTGTATAATAAATGTAGTGTTTTTGTAGTGAGTGCAGAGTGTGTATAGTGAATGTAGTGAGTGCAGAGTGTGTATAGTGAATTTAGTGTGTTTGTAGTGAGTGCAGAGTGTGTATAATGAATTTAGTGTGTTTGTAGTGAGTGCACTGTGTATAATGAATTTAGTGTGTTTGTAGTGAGTGCAGTGTGTACAATGAATGCAGTGTATGTAGTGTGTTTGTAGTGAATGCAGAGTGTGTATAGTGAATGTAGTGCATGCAGAATGTTTATAGTGAATGCAGAGGGTGTATAGTGAATGCAGAGGGTGTATAGTGAATGCAGTGTGTTTGTAGTGAGTGAAGAGTGTGCGAGTGCTGGACGACGTGCGTGCGAGTGCTGGCCGACGTGCGTGCGAGTGCTGGACGACGTGCGTGCGTGAGAGTGCTGGAGCGGCGATAGATGCGTGAGTGCTGGACGACGTGCGTGCGAGTGCTGGACGACGTGCGTGCGAGTGCTGGGCGGCGTCTTTGATGCGTGTGTGTGAGTGCTGGACCCGATAATGAATAGATGTGTGAGTGCTGGGCGATGTGTGTGTGTGTGTGTGTGTTGGATGATGTGTGTGTGTGTGTGTGAGGTGCTGGTTGGTGTGGATGATGTGTGTGTGTGTTGGATTATGTGTGATGTGTTGGATGATGTGTGTGTGTGTTGGATGATGTGTGTGTGTGAGGTGCTGGATGATGGGGGTGTGGTGAGTGCTGGATGATTGTGTGTGTGAGTGGGTGCTTCTGGATGATTGTGTGTGTGAGTGGGTGCTGGATGATTTGTGTGTGTGTGTGAGTGGAGTGCTGTGGATGATTGTGTGTGTGTGTGTGTGAGTGCTGGATGATTGGTGTGTGTGTGTGGGATGATGTGTGTGTGTGTGGGATGATGTGTGTGTGTGTGGGATGATGTGTGTGTGTGTGCTGGATGATGGGTGTTTGTGTGAGTGCTGGATGATGTGTGTGTGAGTGCTGGATGATGGGTGTGTGAGTGCTGGATGATGGGTGTTTGTGTGAGTGCTGGATGATGGGTGTTTGTGTGAGTGCTGGATGATGGGTGTTTGTGTGAGTGATGGATGATGGGTGTGTGTGTGTTGGATGATGGGTGTGTGTGTGCTGGATGGTGGGTGTGTGTGTGCTGGATGATGGGTGTGTGA